AGAACATCAGGTTTATTCAATCACTGGCTCAAAAATTGCAAAGATTTTATTAGATTTATCTACTCTTAATGATACAGTGATAGCACACCAAAGTACCCTTTAGAACAAACTTCAATTGCTAACCCAGCTGATTCCTGTTTTCTCTATAGTGAAATAAAGTTGAGGGAAGGACATAAACCCAAACCCTTCATAAACCCAAAAAAGAACACAGTGCAGCACTTCTTATCTGCAGTTCCCCAAAGGAACATGTGATTACACTCTGCTAGACACAGGAGCTCTATCTACAAACAGAAAAACACTGTATCCAGGAGCCTACACTCTGCGCATTAAGAACATAACACATTGTGGCTAAAAAGGATCGTATTGGCTTTCTGAATGAATTTCTATTGGAAGTAACAAAAATACAAACATTTCTTTAAAAAACTCAGTTACAGCAATAATTCCACAAGTGCCGTATTTTAAGGAGCATGCATAAAAGATCTTAAGGAAGGTGATGGGAAACAAGTGACCAAACAGGGGAAGGCTTCTGACTGCTGGTTCACATAGAATCCCACTAACCACTGCTAACTGCTGTTTTCTTATGCTTTGGGAAGTTAACATTCCCTCCCTGCACTTCTCCATCCTCATCATCCTGGAGCCTGGCAATTCTGTCATCCCTCCTTTCCAAATATCCACAGCAAGTACACATATGTGGTTACTGCAGGTGCATTTGTCAGGGTCATAAGGAAACAAGAATTGCTCTTTCACCTGTTCTTTTCCAAAGCATTCAATTCCACACTGGTTCTGTGGAGGTACTAGCTTTCACAGTGAATGTGATTTTTTGTTTGAAGCTTTGCTATTCTGGCTGCAATTCAGGTTAGGAAGTAATTAGCTTTTCAGAGGCGTGTTGTGGCAGGGCACAAAGGCCACAGCCAGAATGAATGTAAAAAGAAAATAAACTCAAATTTAACTAAATAAGCAAAACCAAAACCAAACATGAAATTAAATTAAAGCAAATTACTCCAGAGGCTGGCAGTGAGCAAATTCGTACAGAACAATATCCAGATATATAGTCTACTAAATGTTTAGTATCAAGAAAAAAATCTGAGCCATCTCTACTTCGGGATACTGTACCATTTTGAAACATCTTTGAGTTTAATTTGTCGGTCACGCTCATCAAGAAAATCATAGGTTCCACCCAACACTGCCTTTTCACCTGCATAAACATTAAGGCACGTTTAACAACATATCTGCCAATATTTATTTTTTTTACTTATGTCATTTTTAACCTCAGAGAAAGCCCAGGAAAACAAATCAGAGTGATCATGGAAGCATACAACTCAAAAATAATAAGGTATGTGGCATTTCAATTTATACCTAAGGCTGAAACAGAGACTGTGAAAGAGAGTACACAAATACTTGTCTTAAGAGTATTTTCTTTTCAGAATTGTAAAAATTCTGTCTTTGTAAACAGAAGAGAAGAAAAACATTGATTCTCAGTGCTAATCAGTGCTCACACACAGTCAGTGAGAAGTCACTGATTTCTATTATTTGCAGCTTTTACCTCTTGCTCCTGACTTGGAACTACTACTTCAGTACAGCAGGCAGTTCTGCCTAACGCTGATAAAGAGCACTGAACTTAAAACTTCTGTGACTACAGCAGCTAACGGACACAAACTTACACATAGTCTAAGTTAAATTCACATTAATCCTGTAACAAACTCAGAATTTTTAGGCACCTGGGAGCTGTGATATTAAAACTAGTTTATCCATAAGAAACATTAACCAGTTTGGCCTCGAGTTCTTTTTTTTCTCGTGGCATGAGTTAGAAGGTAATGCAGTGGGGTTGCAAAGACATATGAACTGTATTTGAGAGAAGGCAAAAGTTAAATCCCTTACAAAAGGTATCTTCTTATCTAAAATGCAGCTTTAACTTAATTCACTATTTTTCATAGTTTATAATATGGCTATCAGACTGTACTGAAATTCTGCTTGAAATGGTTCATACTGGGAGCAGCTTTATTTCAGCAATTTGAAAAGAAACCATTCAACTGTATGAAGATACAGAAATGTAATTTTAAAAAACTGTTTATCAGACACTGGCACTTTTCCTGCTTGTGTAATTCAAAAAGGATCTCAGTAAAGAAAATTGAATTTGGCAATCCATTAATACAGATTTGATGCTCTCTCTGTTCATCTCTTGATGTCTCACCCCTTTCAGAAAAATGAAAATAACTCATGGTAAAAGAGTGGCTGTTCCCTCACATTTGTCCACTGTATTGGCAATTATTAAAACCCTGGAAAAGCTACTGAAGCTCTGCTGACTCATGGTGGCAGAAAAATTACTTGTTAATTCCATAATGAAGATACAGAAAGAAGACAAAGGAGGAAAAGCCAGAGAACTATCAAAGTCTGAGAAGAAGGATCAGACTGAGCTAGTAAAGTCTTACTGAGATGAAAATTCAGACTTAATTTCAACCCATCTGAGTTTAGGAACCTGAGCCATTTCAATAAAGAGCTCACTTGTCATGGGCATCCTCTTCTGTCAGCAGAGGAAGAGAGTGGCAGTTCCGGGAGACAAATTGGCTTACTGAAGGTCTGAACTGTCTTCCAGAGATGCCAGTCCTGCTCCATCAAGTACACACAGACCTCAAGGCAGTGATGGAAAACCTATAATAAGCACATCAGGACAGGCACATGATACTCCTGCCAGCCAAACAGCTCCCCAGACTATCACAGTGCCCAGCACACCCTGCATTTTTTCACTGGCCTCCCAACCCAACAGATCAGATTCAACAGCTAAAGATGTGCTGTGTTGAGAATGGGAGATCATGATAAATTTAGAATTAACCCTTTATATCTCCACAAAACTGAGCCACACTGGAGAACTTTCTCACGGTGGGGCTTGATGCAGATAAGCAGTTTTGAGTGATGACATGAAAAACGATCACCAGTTGTTATTAGCCAGGGGCAACCATGCTCCTAATTTAGGCACTATAGGTAGGTGCATTAGTCCTCTAGTGCAATTGCCTTCAGCCATAAGTCAGTCACAGACTCAGTACTAGGCAATGCTGGCATTTTAAAACACGGAAAAATTTAGGTTTCACCTTCTTTTAAATTCTTCACTGCTCAAAATCCAAAGCACATTTTTCCAAGGAGTAAGGTTCCTCAGAGGGGAACAGCAGTTCTTAGAGCTGTCTGGTTGCATTTGAGGGAATATCATCTGTACTCCCCTTTTGGCAAGTAGTACACCTCAGGCTTCTACATGTTCTAGCACTACACTGAGCTTTGACTTTATACTTCTCCATCATCTCTGATCACAGTTTTCTTGGTGAAGGAAGAATGCTAACACGGTGCATTTGCTATAATGCCATCTTACCATCACTCTGCCCAGTTAAGAGGATGTGTACTTTCTCTACAGCACACAGTAAACAAAGTAAAGGGAAAGAGGAAAAGGCTCTTTGTGACAGTCCAGAGTCACATACCTAAAAGAATTCTGCATACTTTACCTTCATAAAAAATTCTACCCACGACATAACCTACAGTAAAAACAATTCACCTGATTGAGGTAACACAGCAAGCTGCTTAGTCCCCATTTTGCATGTGTCTGAAGTGTTTGTGCTGTGTAACAAAGTGACAAGTTGGGAAATAAATGAGCACAATAGTCTCTTCTAAACTCCTGACATTATACTTTTTAACAGATGAGGAAAAAGTAAAAAGGCAGAATGGCACCTCCAAAACATTTTTCATGTTGTAAAGTACAGTGTCCCCACTGAAATGCTTGGTAAGAGACACAGCAAAGGGCTGATAAATCACTAAAAAAAAAAAATAATAATTGCGAGTTATTGCAAAAAAAAGTCTCGTAAGCATGTCTCGTGCAATGAGGGGAAAAAAACGCAACCCTTAGGACTGGAAATTTGTATCTGTGTCCTACAAATGTCATGTTATCCTTCCAGACAAAAGTCTCAGCGTGCATACAGAGCTATTAAGTTCAAGGATGCAAAACAGCTTTCAGAAACAGTAAAAGAGGCTAAGAGGATTTGGATATTTCAGCATACCCCGCTAATTTACATTGAAGCTGACCAGTCTGCTCCTATTAGTCACTCAGAACAATCACTCTTTTCCCAGCAGAGCTTACTCATTTGCAAGATAAAAGGAAGACATTTCTGCACATGCCCATAATATTCTTCACCACTGGGGGCAGCTTTACATAAGACTGCATTCACTGAAACCAAAGCAACAGTCGGACGGAGCTTTCAGAATGACAGTACGCAGAAGTGAGCAGAGCTTGTTCGTTGTACGGGCTTATTCTACCTGCTATGCTACAAAGCAGCTTCCTAGCCGGATCGGGTACTAAGTAAGGGAACTGCTGTGCTATGGAATACAGATGTGTGAATTCAGATAGCTAAATGGTGCTCGGAAGAATCTAAAATGCTTTCTTATAAAGAGAAATTTTAAAAGCCAGGTTCCTAACTATAAAGATGCAAAAACGTAACATCCATGAAGATCCTATTACCTAGGAAGAATTTGACATTTTTCTGCGAATGCTGTGTTGGGATTGATTTATTCTTGGAGTGTTCTGCATGGCTGGCAAAGAATAATGTTCCAAAATCGGTCCATCTCCCAAGGGGTCCAATTTTTCTTCCTGGGTGTCAGCGAGCCCTGACTCACTACAGTGCAGCTGACAGGGGCTGCCATGCTTGTGGCACACTAAGCAAAAAACAAAAGACCTAAGGACGACCTTTGAACAACACAAAGGATGGGTATGTTTTTCATGTTATTTTTTTAATATACAATTCATAGACACTGCATAGCCTCTGCTTTAATTGCTCCATAGACTTACCTTTATGTGATTTGTGATTACAGTTAAATTGCTTAGGGGTTACACCTTTTACCCAACTGTTTTTTCAGTATTTATAAAGGCATTCTTTAAAAAAATCTGAGTAAAGAAAACAATGTGAAAAGTAGTTGAGACAAGCTAGGGATTTTTAAGTGATTGTTGAAATAAAGATTTTAGCATGATTGAAAGAAATGACTGATGTGTGGGGGGATAACTTTTCTAAGTTGTTTTTATTTCCAGGTTTCAATGTAATTAGGCTACTGAGCGGATCAGCTGTAGCTCTGGTAATAGCCCCTACTGTATTACTGACAATGCTTTCTTCTGCTGAACGAGGATGCCCTAAGGGCTGTAGGTGTGAAGGCAAAATGGTATATTGTGAATCTCAGAAATTGCAGGAGATTCCCTCAAGTATATCTGCTGGTTGTTTAGGTTTGTCCCTTCGATATAACAGCCTCCAAAAACTAAAATACAATCAATTTAAAGGTCTTAATCAACTCACCTGGCTCTATTTAGACCATAACCACATCAGCAATATTGACGAAAATGCTTTCAATGGAATACGCAGACTAAAAGAGTTGATCTTGAGTTCCAACAGAATCTCCTATTTTCTTAATAATACCTTCAGACCTGTGACAAATCTCCGGAATTTGGATCTGTCATACAATCAGCTGCAGTCTCTGGGATCTGAACAGTTCAGGGGCTTAAGGAAGCTGCTGAGTTTACATTTGCGGTCCAATTCCCTAAGAACCATCCCTGTTCGAATATTTCAAGATTGTAGAAACCTTGAACTGTTGGACCTGGGTTATAATCGCATCCGAAGTTTAGCAAGAAATGTCTTTGCAGGCATGATCAGACTGAAAGAGCTTCATCTGGAGCACAATCAATTTTCTAAGCTCAACCTGGCACTTTTTCCAAGGCTAGTCAGCCTTCAAAACCTTTATTTACAGTGGAATAAAATCAGTGTGATAGGACAAACTATGTCCTGGACCTGGAGCTCATTACAAAGGCTTGATTTATCTGGCAATGAAATAGAAGCTTTCAGTGGACCTAGTGTTTTTCAGTGTGTGCCCAATTTACAGCGCCTCAACCTGGATTCAAACAAGCTCACATTTATTGGTCAAGAAATTTTGGACTCCTGGATATCCCTCAATGACATCAGCCTTGCTGGGAATATATGGGAATGCAGCAGAAACATTTGCTCTCTGGTAAACTGGCTTAAAAGTTTTAGAGGGCTGAGGGAAAACACAATAATTTGTGCCAGCCCAAAAGAGCTGCAGGGGGTGAATGTTGTTGATGCAGTGAAAAACTACAGCATCTGTGGCAAAAGTACCACGGAAAGGTTTGAATTAGCACGAGCTCTCCCAAAGCCAACGTTTAAACCAAAACTCACCAGGCCTAAACACGACAGCAAGCCCCCTCTGCCCCCAACTATTGGAGCCACTGAATCGAGCTCTGAACCCGAGCATGACACAGAACACATCTCCTTCCATAAAATCATAGCAGGGAGCGTGGCCCTTTTCTTGTCTGTGCTTGTGATCCTGCTGGTAATCTATGTGTCATGGAAGCGTTACCCAGCCAGTATGAAGCAGCTGCAGCAGCGCTCTCTCATGCGAAGGCACAGGAAAAAGAAAAGACAGTCACTGAAGCAAATGACTCCAAGCACACAGGAATTTTATGTAGATTACAAACCTACCAACACTGAGACCAGTGAGATGCTGCTGAATGGAGCAGGACCCTGCACGTATAACAAATCAGGCTCCAGGGAATGCGAGGTATGAACCATTGTGATAAAAGAGCTTTTAAAAGCTGGGAAATAGTGGTGCTTTATTGAACTCTAGGGACTATAAAGGGAACGTTTTTCTCACTTTTCTGGCACAGCTCTTCCATGTCACTTATTTTGTACATTCATAATACTGGTCATTTTATTCTCATACATAATCAAGTCATTGAAATTTAAATACCGCAATCAATGTGAAGTCTGAGCTCTGGTTTAATACAATACCTATTGTACAAATCCTCTTCTGATTTCATTAAAGTCTTGCTTGTTTTTAAATAGAAAACTTCTTTCATAACCTAATCCACTGCACCTGCAGTGAGCGTGCTTCTGTTTAGGGAGAAAGATCACAACAGTGATGAAAAATAAATAAATCAAACCCAGATCCCTTCCCAGCCCATGCTCTGAAACTTGATTTTTGAGCTAAGGTACTGTAGCATCATAGGAATTCTGATTTTTCTGAGTCAAGAGATGGTGCAGGAGCAGCTCTGAAAAAGTGCCTGATTTCTGCCTAGCACATGACATAATAATTAAAAAAATAAATCAGTCTCGGGCTTGAGTCATCAAACCAAAAACAGAGTAGACTTAATATAAATTTTAAAATAAAAACTGGAGAATGGGGTTTATTCTACTGCATTATAATAGTTTTTCTATGGCTGATAACTAGTAATTGAAACCTGTTTATGCGACTTCATACAAAAGGTGCCAGTGTTTATCCCTTACCCAGTTGCCTTTCAGAAAGTAGTCAAAAGGCATTCATTAAGTGAGGAGCAGAAATTCCTTATTGATGCAATTAGAGGAACTGAAATGTGCAGTAGCAAAAGCGACACCACTTCCTGCACACATTTGTACAAGTGCTCATTAGAAATTCTCTTTTCAAGACTGTCAAAGACATTAATGTAGCTGAGGAAACAATTAAATCTGCCATTTTCTTCTATTTCTTTCTATTTGCTGGGCTTGTTAGGGTTTGTGATGTGTTCTGTACACTGTCTCTCTAGTAACTAAATAAAGCTTCATTGCAGTCAAAGCCAAACAGCGTACGTTTTAGAAAAACAGCAACTGCAAAAGAGCTTTCAGAGAAAATTTGTCACTCACTGATCTAAGAATACCGCATCCAAAAATCCTTAAAGAAGTCAGTAACAATTTTTTTTTCCTCTCTTACCAAAACCCTGATGACATTACGAGAATTCAGATACTCAGTTTTAATGTGAAGTCATTCATCAGCTGTTTTGGACAAAATACAGATTTGTAACCTGGCTCCTCCCTTTCCTCTCTCTATAAAAGCTTTTTTTTTTTTTTCCCCAATTGCTTAGAATGTAACATCCTCTCTGTTTGGAAAAATAATCATATATTCTATGTATTTTGATGGTCTTCTGAACAGATATTTTCTTTCATTCTTGGAATAATACAACAGCACCCATATAAAAGTAGAGTTAGTCATGCAATTATTTTGTAGCTTGATTTGGCTTAGTAAACTGCACATCTTTAATCACTTGGAAGAGAATGCTTCTTCAAAGCAGTTACACTGCAGCAGATTAGAGGAAGCAAAGCCTTAGCAGGATGTTCTATTGAATTTTTACTAGAAAAATAATCATCACAGCCAATCACCTTGAAATGTGCTAGATACAATGAAAACAAAGCTATGAATCATTTCTTTAAAGGAACTAATACACTTGAAGAGTATTCAGCTTTAGTTTTGTTGTTGTTGATTATAGCATATAATGAAACCAGTCTTGTTTTCAAGGACTATAGTGAGGAAATATCTAAGAATGGAAGCTTGAGACTATACTGAACCCTGCAACACTGAGATCTCATTTTATTAAACATAGAAAGGATCCTGAACATGGAAGTGCTGGAGATGTTTTAGCAGCACCGAGCAGACTATTTTTTAAGCTGAATTGTAGCTTAAAAGTTGCTACTGAAAGTCAATATAAATTGAATTAACTTAGCTATTACAGGATTCAGTTTTCCACCAGCAAGTCTTGGTAACCTCTGTGCTGAAGGATTATAAATTTGCTCTAAACTTACTTATGAGAACTATGTCTGTACTTCTATGGTCTTTAGTGCTATCCTTGACTTCAGGAAGTGCTGACTCCATTAAAGAAATAATTTCATATAATTAATTTAGAATTTATGTTATTTAAAAATACTCAATACATATTATAAAATTTCTTATTATACTGTGGTTGTGAATAAGTTGTGAATAGCTGAGTTTGACTTACAAAATCTTTTTAATGCCTTATCATACCTCAATACTCAGGAAAAAAAAATCAATCCCATATCCCCCTACAAAAAGCAATTCCTGTAAAGTTATCACTAACTCTCTTTGAAAAATATATAACTATGGGACTGAAAAAGCAGCTAAGGCCAGTATGTCATTAATCATAGATGAAAAAATAACAAAAATTCAGCACATTTATATTCAAGTAGACATGCTCAGATCAACTGTGTTATTTGTTGCCTGATAAACAACAGATAGACTTCATATAATGCCGACTATGTACCAAACACAGATGAACGTGTAATTGCTGCTATTGCTGCTGTCTAATTACACAAAATAAAATGCCCAGTATAACTAATTGAACCTTCTTGCACAGCCTGAGGCCTGAGAATTGAGTCTTTTAATCCCACTCTAGTGTCTATGGCTTAGAAAACACTTTTTAACCAGCTTTGTACATTAAAATGTACAAAACCCATGCTTTAAACTGCACAAAGACAACATGAAATAAACTAACCTTAATCCCACTACTGTAGAATTAAACATTATAGAATTGACTTGTTTTGGGAGACAAGGCCAGCAGAGTTCAAATTTTAATCATCTTGTAGGAAACATCAACTTAACTGAGCAACCTTCAGTTCCTGTGAGAGGTTGCCCTTTTCCTAAATACAAACAAAATGATAAAGCTTCAGAGATTTCAGAGAAGAAAATTCTTGTTTGTTCCCCTTTAGTCTGGACATATAGAGTTCTTGTCCCACTTAGTCTTGGCTTTTGGAATTTTTGATGCCAGTCTCTCACAGAACTCTTAAAGTCTTCCTGGGTTGATGCTGAGAGATCTTCAGAGGGTGTGCAAGAGCTATGATTGCTTTTAAAGCCCTACTCTTCCTTCAAGTATTTCAGGTACCAAGTTGAGGAAGGAGATGCAAGAGATGTGACAAAATGCCTTTTGCCTGTCCTTTAATGGCTTTGATGCTGTCTGTATATTCCAAGTTGAGAAGAGCAAGATTGCATTTATAAGTGTTATTGTCTGTTTTAAATCAACTTCCATTCCTTACCCTGAGACTTATCTAGTGTTACCTAGTGTTTTGGAACTACCATTTGAAGACCAAAGCATTTCAACATAGAAAAAAAATGCAGAACCCCTTAATAACAGTTTTCATTTTTCATTGGTTAAGCAGTCAACAGTTATTTAAACAATGAAAATGGAAATGTCAGGTGGGATCACCAAACAAGGCTGTTTCATCTTATAGCAGTACCCCAACAGTCTGGAAAGTTGTCAGCACATCCTCTGCTAGCCATCTACAAAGATCGTACAACAATCTCTCATGTTGAAAGTTTATACGAGGCATGTTGGGAAGATGGCAAAGGAGATAACAGATTTGAAGTAATTTGGTTGAGATCACATACCAGCTGAGTTCTGGGAAGATAAATCCAGTCACTTTCTCCAAAGGCATCCTCTTAGCCAGTGGACTAGTTAGCTTTCCAGTTAAAAGACTGAGACGCTATTCACTGGTTCTTAAAATACTTGACTGATATTTTAGAATACTAGATAATACAGAATGCACATTTTTTGAAAAGAAAATAACTAATGTACTAAGCAAATTCAAGCAGACTGGTAATGTTCATTCACTGTGCTGAGATTACCTCCAGCAATTGTAGAGTAGAAGAATAATAATGAGACCAAGTGGCTTGAATATAATGAATGCAAGTATCTCTGCTGGCTGGTAGGCTTTCATCACTCGCTATCTGCATTTACACAGTCATCATGGATTACTGTGTTTTGTGGTTTTTTTTTAATTTTATATGAACTAGCAAGCCTTGATATAAAGTTCAATTGCAAAAAATGAACATAAATTTACAATATTTCTGCAAACACAATTAAAAATTCTCAATTTACTGCAAAAGAAAGGTCTTTTCCATCAGCTGCTCAACTCTAGATAAATATTCTCCTAGATGAATTTCTGTGGAACAATAGTGACATCCAGTGGGTAGTAAGCTTAATCACAGGTCTCTATTGCATACAGATTTGTTTGCCTTTTTACTTTGTATTCTTCTGCATAACATGATGACAGCAGCTAATCCTTTCATCAAACTAAGCACTCAATTGTATTTTAATTTCATCTCTATGAGAGTCATAACCTGAACACAGTGAACTACAGAGAAAAGAATAGATGAATGGAAGAAAGAAACGGTCTATCCATTGTGTAAAGATCCACTGTCATTAAAAGGCAAGAAGCACTAAGCAGTAAGAATAGGAGCCGTAAAAAAAATTTTTTTTTAGAACTTATTACCTATAAAACACAACTAAGATAATATAAAAATTTATACTACAAACAACTATTTCAACTTCCCAAAACAGCATAAGATTAAAAACAATTTATTTTTACAAGAACAGTAACAGATGTCAAAAGAAAGGGGAACCAAGCCATTTTAACAAGTTAAAGATACAAATAATGGAAAAATTACCAATGACATGAGTACACAGCATATTTGCTTGGGAGAAGGTTATTTGTAGCAACTTGCTACAAATATGTTCTGTTGCAAGTACTTTAGGCCGGAGGGTATGTCAATACTACTGGCAATATTTTAAAATACAGTGAAGGATATAAGTCAATGAAATCAGGTTTAAAGCTACTGTAGATAACAGTCAAATCTGGTTTCCTTAAGTAGATGCACAAGAATTCATTTCACTCCACACTGAATGAAGTACAGTCATAGTTTTAGATTTTATGTACGTGGGGTCAACTATCAGATAATGTGCAGCCCTTGTTTTTGTTCCT